CCCAAGACAGGTGTCAACTCTGTGATTGCTGTCAAGAGATTTGTCCTCCCTGAGAACCCTTCTGACCTTTATCTCTGTGCCCCATGTGACACCCGCACTTCAGAACCCAATAAACCAGTAACTGTGCCCGTGCACATCCAGCCATCCACTGAGGTTAGAGGTGTGCTGCACAAAACAATGACTGAAGCACCCAGAGAATGCCCCCAGCCTGGCACAGACTGCACAGGGCTGGGACTGTTTGGCTCTCTGATCACACAAGCAGTCGTGTGCCAGAGGGGTCTGGTATCCAGGTGTGCCACATCCCACCAGCTGGGAATCTCTGCTCTCCACAGAGGCTGCCCAGACCCTCAGCCAGGGGCATTCAGAGCATCTCTACTCAACTTGTGGCTTGGCATTACTTTTAGCTACTAGTTTATCCAGAAACAGTGGATCTTGGAGAAGAACAAGGTCACTCAACACGTGACATGTTTAAAGAAGCAGCAAACAGGGATGCACCTCTTGGAAAATACATAAATGTACTGTCACACACAGATCAAAATCATGCAGTGCCTTTTGGAGAGGAGGAAAAGGAAGTAGCCTCTCCCCACTCCTAAACCCATCATTTGGGGATGCTGCTTGCACAAGGACAAGTGGCTCGTGGTGGTGTTTTCAATTCTCCACCTTCCAGGGAAGATAACACACTGCAGAGCTATTTTAAGAACATCTCATTCACAAAGGTCTCCAATTCAGTCTTCAGAGAGAGAGATGATTTTCTTGCTGCTTCAACATCTTTACTGGCATGACATTTGCTTCAGAGGGAATTCATTTGCTGTTCCAACATCAGAATGAAGCAAGAGCAGCTGCCAGGAGAGGGATAAAAGGAAACACTGGTGACAAAGAGCAGCAGGGTCATTTCTGGTGCAAAGAAATATAGAACAGAGAGGACTGCAGAACTGTCACTTTCTCCAGAAAGCAGCGGGGGATAAAGACTTCCCCTCTGTCTCCTGCAACTGGTGTTTAGCAGCAAGGAGGAAAACGAGAGAGAAAGGACTAAACAATCCGGCTGAAGTCTTTAAATGACTAATTATTACAAACCAACTGTAAGCACCTGAGCACTCCCAAGCTCATGTGTAAGTGCTGCAGGGAGCAAAGAATCCAGTAGTCAGTCAGGACTCTCAAAAGAAAAGACTTCTGGCTACAAAGCTGTGCAGAGCATGAGTCCATGTCTGGGAGATGACAGCGCTGGGCCGATCTCAGGGCGCAGCGCTGAGATCACATCTGTCTGTGCAGCACCCTGGCCAGACCCGGGGCAGGGCTGTCAGCCACCACAGCCCACCACAAACACTGCTCTGGAGAGCCACGGAGGGCTGACAGGGCAGGGAAGGAACACAAGTGCCTGCAGAGTCTGATGTTCAACATCAGAGAGATGCCCGATCTGCCCTGACACCGTCTGTCACTCCCAGCTGGCCCTGCCCACCCCAGCACTGCTGCCCCGCTGCAGGAGCACCACCCCACCCTCCGATCCCGCCTAAGGCAGGGCCACATTCCCACACTGCTGCTTAAAGGCCCTCTTGGCCAACGTGCCCTTTGGCCTGACCAACAACCTTACACTAGGCCACCTGCTTCGTTGGACTACTGGATTTCTGTCCCTCTACTTATTAAAACATTGCCCTGAGAGGGCAGGGATTTATCCCTCCTTCCACAAGATGAGCAGATCCTTGCCCTCTTCCCAGATGAAGACATACTGCCATCCTTGCAAGCATTAAGACAGAAACCTTTATAAATAACCAAAGTTAAATGAAAATATTCTTTCCCCTGCTCCTCACTGCATTTATTAATGGAGTAATTTATTCTTTTCCATATTCTTTTTCATAGAGAAAAGATTTTAAAGACAAAAACTCTGGGAAATTACTCTTTGCAAAGAAAAGGAATAACATACTCCAACAGGAATTTTAATCCCATGATATTTTGTGTATATGTTTATTCTGCTGCACATTAGGATCACAGGTTATTTAGAGCATGGTATTTATCTGACTAACCAAACTCCCTCAGACTCACAGCCATCAGCTTATGACACCTTAAGGGCTTCAGCATTAGGATTTATGAATTAAATATTTCCAGGGTGTTACAGAACACTGAGGACTGTATCTGCAGAGCAGTATATCAGGGTATGTGTGGGCTTGTCAAACACCCACATGATAAATTATCAATAGTGCAGCTCAGAGCACCCCCTTTTTGGATCAGAGACAAATCCATGCCTTTTATTATGCTTTGTTCCACTTGATGGAACTTTTTCTGCATTAAAGGATCACAAAAAGCCTACATGCCTAAATGCTGAAGGACATTCATACACAACTCACAATCAGAAGACTTATTCTAATATTCCAAGTTCTGTTTTCACAGCTAGTTTGTGTGTGACAAGGAAAAAAAGCCCACAAGGTATGTCTGGAACTGAACCATTACATTTCATACTGTGCAAGATAACACAATCTTTCGTGGAGAATTTTAAGGTTACAACACTGCTAAGGACCAGAAACAGGACTGGCTGATTATGAACTGTCCTCCATCCCCGTGCACAGAGAGCTGTCAAAAAGATTATATCCCTGCAAAGCAAGTGTCAAATCCAAGGGGAAAACAAATCTCTCAAGAGTCAGAAAAGACTACACTTGATGCCGTGGATTTTTGAAAATGAACAAGTCTGTGCCCTGTGTTTCTGATGCACAGTATTGACTTTTCTATATAATTTTTACCTGAGTTTAGCACAGACAACCCCAACTATAGCAGCATTCCCTCCCAGACAGTAGACTTGTACTGGTTACAGCACTTACTGTGAGGACAATGCTAAGAGACAGATGCATGTCCCCATGAATAACTGTCTTCAGCAGCAAGAGATTAGAATTGATCTGTCATGTTTCAGCAGCAGCAGTCACCAATCCTGTATCTCCAGGCCTCACTGGGGATGACAAATGAGCTGCCCTCAAACCAGGCTTTGGCAGGACCTCGTGCAGTGTCTCTGCCTGCCCAGTTCCAATTACCATGGTTGGATTTTGCCAACTCCCCCATCGAGCAGCTCGGGCTCACTGAACTACTCCCAGAACACTCCTGCTCCAAGTTCCACGAGCCAGCTCAGTGCTGAGCCCCCTCAGCAGCCTTCAGGGGCAGGAGGTGATGAGGAAGCCCTGACTTACACCACTACCCCGTTAATTCCCTCTGCTCTAAGCGGGAGTGAATCACAGCACTCACAGGGAACACGATCCTGCACTGAGGAAACAAACAGTCCATCAGGTGAGCACTTTGTCAGCAAGTTCTGTGTTTCCTTAATATCCTTTCAAAAGCTTTTTCCTTACACATTCCTCCGTAGGAACCAACTAGATCTCCTCCTCCTTAAATTTCATAGCATGAGGAGCCTAAAAAGCAGCTGAACTGACAGTCTTAAGCTCCATAGCTTGGTAGAGGCCAGGGACAACAATTACAAGTGTTTATGGACCCAGTGTGGCAGGAAGATACACTCGTCAGGGTGGGTCACTCCAACACTGGCACCTGACAGAGCTCCATATGGAGCCCGAGATAGCACAGTCTCACCTCTCTGAGGGGCAAAGAAAACATGGGGAATATGGCTGCAGCATTTGATCCAACCCAAATTAATAAACTGGCTCCCAGATTTTACCCACACTTTCCAGAAGGAAGCTGGAAGGCATGGTTTGGAGTGTGGGGAAAACAGGTGCCAGTGCCAGGACTGCAACCCTGCTCTTCTGCTCACTGCTGAAAACCCAGCGACACCTCAGGGTACTGCTGGGACACTGACTGACCCAGTAAAGCACCTAACTGAACAAATATTTAAGGTGACGCTGTATTTGGACTTGAATAATGGCACTGAGACAATGATCTGCAGGTACACCAAGAATCCAAGTTCCCACACAAGGATTATTAGGCCTCTGCTCCATTTTACTACTTGGAAAGGTATTGCAATAGCAGAGAAAGAAAAAGGTCCATAATGAAAAGGCATGGGAGAGTTTTAAAAGCCTTCCAGTCCTGCCAACACAGCCCTATGGCCTTTGGTCCCTGCTTCCTTCTTCAGTCCCCCTCCCACACCTCCCCAGAGACCAGGAGAACCCTTGGTGTCTCCATATCCATACCCACATTGCCAGCCTGTTATCAACTCCAATGAAAACGTCAACCAGACAGCTACAAATACAAGTTCCAAGGAAGTATTCTGTTTCTTCCAATAGGTAATACTAGAAAATGCCTGTAAACCAAGCCTAGTCTTGCCCACTTTTCCTTTTTTTTTTTTTTTTTTTTTTTTAAGTGAAATATCTGTTTTTAGAGGCATGATGGCAAAAAAACCTCTGCCATCATGTTGTCATTCCAGACTGGAATACAGGTAACAACATTTCCAAACGCAGCAGGAACAGCCGTAACAAAGAGACCCATCTTCAGTTCTGCAAGGCTTTTCTTGTTTACACTGTTAAAGAGCAGGCAAAAAGGACCCAAACCCATTCTTACAAAGGTTTTGCACTCGAGTTTCAGGAACTGCAACAGGCTGTCGCATTTACGCTCTGCCCGCCGATGTGCAGTTTGCAGAGACAGCGAGGGTGGGCGGCAGGAGCCGATGCTGCAGCCCCGGGGATGCGCTGGCACAGCCCCGTCCCAGCTCTGCGGGCTCCTTCCCTCGCCCCAGCAGGGGCAGGGGCAGCTTCCCCGCCGGTCCCTCCCCTCCTCTGGAACCGCGTCCCGTCACCCGAGGAACCTCCCTGTCACCGCCACAGCTACTTTAACTCTGCCCCACGGGCAAGGCTCTGATAAGCAGGGGGTTTGCGAGGCAACACTATTTATCAGGTATGGCCAATATTCACATGAGAAAAACGGAGAGTGTTCGGACTGCGGGGTGTTCCCTCACCCTGAGCCGTAGGGAACGCTGACGCCTCACACAAGGACACCGCGTTCCCCAAGGCCGGCGGGTTCGTGCCGTGAGTGAACTGAAACAACGCACAGAGGGTGTTCTGGTGCTGGTTCACACGTACCTCGCACGGGGCCCCCTGAGCGTGTCCTGGGCACGCTGCGGGGGCCGGGAAGACACTGCTGGGAACGGCTGGAACCCGCCGTGAGCGGGGGATTTGCCTTGGGGAGACCCGGTGCCACAGCCGTGCCACAGCCTCGGGCCCCGCCGCAGCCCCGCTCTGCAGCTCTGAGAGACTCGAGAAAAAAACCCTGAGCCCTGGAACAAGCCCCCTCAGCAGCCCCCACACCCCCCGCCGGCCGCCCCCAGGCCCCAGGGAGCGGGGTCAGCGCGCATCGGGCGGGGGGAGAGCGGGCAGGGAGGGAGCCGCCGGCGGGCGAGCCCCAGGAGGCGAAGGAGGGCCCCACCCCGGCGCTGTCCCCTCAGCGCTGTCCCCTCAGCGCGGCCCCCGCCCCGCCGCCCCCTCAGCGCCCACAGCGGCCCCGCGCGCGCCGCGTCCTCACCTCACCCCGCCCCGCGCCGCCATTGGCCCCGCCCGCTGCCCGTCAGCGGAGCCCCGCCGCCCATTGGCCGCCTGCCGCCTGTGGGCGGGCGCACCGGCCACTTCCGCGTCCGTCCCCCGGCGCCGCGCTCTGCGATTGGTGGAGCGGCGGCTCCTTCACCGCCCATCGGCGCCGGCCACTGGCGAGGGGAGCTGTCAGTCGTGCGGCCGCCCCGCCTCCCAGTGCCATTGGCCCAGTAACCCCTTTTCGGGCTCTCGTTTCTCTCCATTGGCTCATCGGATCGGACGGACGGTCGCGATTGGGCGAGCGGCGGGTGCCGGGGGCGGGACTGCGCTCGGGAGCAGCGCCGATTGGCCGGCGGGCCCCCGTGATTGGCAGGAGGGCGCGGGGGCGGGGCCGCCCGGGGCGAGGGTTGTGTGAGGTGAGGGAATCTCGCGGGGTCTCGGCGGCTCCGGGCGCGGCGGCGCGCGCTGATTGGCCGGCGGGG